CTCCAAGCTATGAAAGGATCTATAGAGGAAATGAAAGTCCGGTCATATTTTGGTTATTTTTTGGTCGTTGTTTGGTCATTTTTTGGTCGCATTTTGGTTGTTTTTTGTGATTTTTGAGGTTGTGTTCATTTGTTTTTGTATTTTTCCGTTTTTTTGTCAATTTCGAGGCTTTGGTCCAAATTTTTTTGTCATTGTTTGGTAATTTTTTCGTCGTTGTTCCTTTTTTTATTGATGTTCGAGGTTTTGGTCATTTGTTGGCTGTTTTTTTGTCATTCCGGGAAGGCTTTACCAAAACCCCCCTACAAAAACGACCAACAATTATTTATTTTGAACTACCCCAGTCTGAGGCTACAAAGATCTTACGAGTGTAAGCCAAGCGCACCTGCGCAAACAGCTACATTGTTGCAGAGATGCCCAGGCTCTGGCCACAAATGTGCTCGGCTCTTCCAACGACTCCTGCAACAATGGGCACAAAAGGCCTGGAGTGGCATGGATACCCTACCCGCTGCTATGTACACAACCCTTGCATATTAATGCATATTAACATTGGAATTGTATGGAATTGTTCCGAAATCAATCAAAATCGAAATCACCCATTTTGATCCATTGTGATCCATTTTGCAAGATGCTCAAGCACAAGGTCACTGTTGCCCTGCATTGCCCTGCCAACCAATGCTTTGCCTGCGAAGGCTCCACGACCTCATCGTACGACGCTCTTTGTAAACCGAAAATGTTGGAAAGCAGCTTCCTGGAACTTCCACCGGGTACTATAGCAATTAATATACAGAACGCTACAGAACATATCTATTTCTTCTTGCTTCTTAGTTCCATTGGCAAATCTACTCGAGGGAGCTAGTCAAATACCATGCAGTGCTTTGTGAGTGACTGGAAGCAGCAACAGAACGAGCCCAAACAGCTTGGCCGAGGATCCCTACGAAGCTGTCTAGTCCCTTGGTCAAAAAAGAATATTTCAAGACTTTCAAGGTCCATATTATATGGGTCCATGTTTCATAACAGCATTGAAAGGGCTTTGCACAGGTCTTGCCGCTCGAAGATGTGGTTCAATTGCATGATTGGCCAATATTGGCAAGGTCCCTTTTTGAGTTTGACCGCAGGATGATCGATGTGGTCAAACCAAACCTGTGGCCTTCCCTTGCCATCCACTCATTGAAATGCACTCCCAACGTCGAGTCATGTCAAGCTCCCGGCACGCGTGGAAGCTTCCAGAACTTCGGTAGACTCTTGATGCGGAGACGTGGCCTTGATTTGATCCCATGAGTTTCTGAATGCACGAATCACCTCCGTTGTGCTGTACACAAATACCTCCAAACAATTCTAAGCGCAATATGAATATACATACTAATGCATAAATAATATGATCAAATACGTGCATTCTATAATCATATATACAGTAATTCTATAGCACACGCAGTTGTAATTATTTATTCATGTAATACACATATCATCATATATCGAATATAAATATATATATATATATGTGTTAAAAATGTGTGTGTGTGTGGATCAAACCAGGAAACATCTGGGAGAGGAATTTCTTCACGATCAAGATTAACAGATCCCCCAGTGGATCCTGTGGGATCATCTCGAATGAACATGAACTGGCATCTCGGTCAATCTCGGTCATGCTCAGTCTCGAACAGATTCATCTTCCCAGTCTGTGTACTCCGTGTACGCATCATTGTCTTCGTTCTCCTCTTCGCCTTGGTCCCCACCTGTTGAACCGTGAAATCACTGTGCCGCTGAATGTCCATCATGTCCATGTGCAAAATCCCAACAGCCAACGGTGAAAGGACTGAAAGGACCCTTGTGTATACCCATGGGGCCTTGTTGGAGTGTCCCAACGGACCTGGCCTACAGCATCAATTCCCCTTAAATCCCTTAACACATAAACAGGTCCGAGGTGGCAACTGTCGCCAAAAATGCCGACCCGGTGGGAACTGTCCTGGGGATCCATGGCTTTCTGCTGTCAAAATTCAGAGGGGAAACTATTTGTCGTTCAAGCTCTCAACGTGTTCCGTTTCATGGGATATCATCACACCCCAAGGCATACTACTATTGTCTGAGTTTTTTCTTGCTTGTTTCATCTTGTTTCTATCTGATTTCTCTTTTCAAACGATGTGCTTTTGGCGCAGTCTCTCTCTCTCTCTCTCCTCTCTTGCATTTTGCCCCTCCCTATGGTTTCGGGTTTCGACATGACATGGTCATTTCGATGCTGAAATGTATATATTATATATACTTAAAACAGAGGTTGGTCTCTCGACCCTACATTGTAAACCATAAATATGCGGTTGAATCATGTTGAATCACTAATTCTTGTGATTATACCATCCACCTCTTAGGGGAAAAAAATGATGCAACATGTCTTTCACCATTGGATTCTCTGACACAAGCCTGCACATGCACGCACAATTAAACTGCCAGCACATATTTGTTGGGGGTGGCCACTGGCCACTTCAGTGTTTTGATGGAAGAGTTGCGACACTCGGAACGCCTCGTCCGTCTGGCGAGGTGCTGCAGAAGGGGCCTACGAACTGAAAAAAAATGCCACGGCTGCCACGCTTGCGCCGCATCCAAACCCTGCACCCTCCATGACCCTTCAGCAGCTTTCTGGCCGCTGCGCCTTATGTTTTGCTCGCGTCAAATTGATTGATTTTGGTTCATTTTGACTTGTGCCGCATTTGGATGCATTTGGCCTCCCCGCTGTCGATCTGATGCATCGCTAGAATCTATCGAAAAACCAACCTCCTCCCATGTAAAACGTCGTCAACTCCCAGACATGTAAAATCATTGCTTGCTGCATCAAATGCGGGACCTGGGACATGAATTGTCGCTGCTTCCTGGCTATTTGAAAAGCTTTGTGGAAAGCAGTCGGGGTGCTGTGAAACCAAAATGTATCTTGCTTGATGCTGACTTTGGCATCGATTTGGCCATGAAGCTTGCACCGGCACATTGCCTGGCCAGCAAGAGTGGATTTGCTATGGCTGCTATGAGTCTCTCCTTGGAACTCGGAGTGGAATATCGTGATATCGACGGGGGGCTACAACCACTCTCTACTGCATGATTCAACAATATTCAACAATACCATCTAGCCTGGCTTGAACTTCGCCTATCACCTTCTTCTGACAAATCTGACATAACAAAGAAAGCAAACATGGTATACATCCTAGAGGGACAACGACTTCACATGCATGCTGCATTCAATTCACAAGGCTAGAACTTGAAGGATCTGAGAGGATCTGTGGAGTGTTCAGTTCCAACTGATTCTAAGTGCTGGGGGCCTCAATCATGGTGCCCACTCTGTCGGCCTGCATCCAGTGGCCCAAGATGGACCGAGTGCCCAAGATCGTATCTCTAAAAGTCACCATTCCCATGAATGATATGGATGCAATGTGAGAGCTTTCGAACACAGAGAGATACAGAGAATGAGAGAGAATTGCAGGGAAAACTTTGCGCTTTCCTGCTGCGTTGCATTGCGTTGGCGTGAGACTGGTGCCGCAACAATGTTCAACATATTCTGGCACATTACTCTTGCGCTACTCAGCTGCAAACCTTGCCATTCCCTCCCTTATACTTAGGAGTAAGAATCTCTTTGACCTACGTAACGAATCACAACGAGATGTAATTAATATTGGTTAATTTGTATTATAATATACATATATATATGATTATGATTAAAATTGTTATTATATATATATATATTAAAAAAATATAATAATTTAAAAAAAGAACATAGCATGTCATGATTGCATCATTATTCTTCTGTCGTTCAATTCACTGGTTCCGGACGTGGCCTGACGTCCTGCCCCCCGTTCTGCCCGCATGATGAGCACCTGGATCAGGAGGTGGTCGTGGCCATCGAACTGTAGCACTGACTCCTGCAGCGCGAGCCTTCCTTGGCAAACGTGGGTGAAATTCACTGAAAATCATTAAAATATGCTGAAATCTGGAATTGGTCAGTTGCTTCTGCAAAAACGAGTAAGGATTGTCTCGAAATGTGTCCAAGCTAATTCGACTGCCTTCACACATGTCAAACTGTCAAACGTGCTTACAGAATTAAGAATGAAATGAGACAAACCAACCACTGGACCTCAAAGTCAATGACATACCTACTGGCAAGTTCCGAGCAGCTGTGATTGGCACCCAGGGCAGCTGGTTTCACTTGAACTTTGAACCTCACTAGATCTCACGAGCAATGTCAACTTTGAGAATTCTGGGAAACGTTCATGATGGAGCAACACCAGAAACGACAGAGATCCACTGCAACCATCTGCGCTAAAGACCTTGCAGACATGTTTACACAACGAGATGCATCAGAATATGCGTAGACTTAGACTTTTTCATCTTTTTCCATGGGTCCGCAGATGTCCGCAGTAGGCTCAACTAAGATTGGTTCTTGGGAAGCGGGGCAACGTGCCGCCTGCATGTGCTCAACAATTGGGCACATGCTGAACTAATGCATGCAAGTGCGTACCAGCATGCTGAACAGCTGATGTTCGGCACACTCAAAATTCCTGAATTGGTTCAACAGAGCTGTCCCTGCTTGTGCAAGGCTTCAATTCTTTGGCATTCATTGCCAGAAGGCGTGCAACGGGATTTCAGCAAAGCTGTCTCCATTTGGCCCAGGGCCAACATAAGCACAAGAGCAAAAGAGAAATTGCATGAAATTATTCATGTGAATCGATATGATCCGTAACGAGTTGCATTTGAATGCATTTGGTTTTTGCTGCTCAGGAGCCTGCAGGAGAGGGAAAAACTACACTTGGAACAAGTGAATTACGCCAGGCACCTGGCTCTCAAGGGGATTATGGGATGCTGCATTGTGGCATTGTGCTGCTCACAGTGCGTGCATCCGCTCCAAAATCAGCTGTATATCAGCCGTGAGGCTGCGACACCCTCCAGCTCCATGCGGTTTCATGACAGCCACATCAGTCATGCTATACAGAGTAGCCGCATGTAGAAGCTTCTCGGTGTCTCTATGTTCACCGATTGAGCACTACATCACCGGAAACGGCCCGGTGATCGCTGCCAGCTGCTCGTGGCCAGATCTGAGACTGGACAATCGACTGACCCACCGAAATTGGTGTCTTCTGGAAATAGACGTAGTCCTTGCAGAGACGTGCAGCACATGTGACACATGATGCATGGAGACATGATGAGATATGATGAGACATGGAATGACGTGGAATGACATCAGCATGACTCCCTCCATCCCTGGATCCCACCAGTGCCAACACTGCGTTCAAGTATCCAAACGCACGGGGTCGTTGTTGATCGTGGAAGGATCGGGGTTTCCTGGGTGAAGTTCCGCCCAGGCATCGGTGAAAGTCATTGGAATCTGCCAACGGCGACCGAAGGCATCCATCTGGCCAAGCCGGAGGAGCTGCTGCGAGGGTTGGTAGTAGCCCGTGTTCAAATCTCCCATGAGGACCTCAAAACAGCAGAAAATATAGCAAACATCACCACAAGCGGTGGCACAAACATCAGCATACCGACTGATGCTGGAAGTTCCCGTTTCAGGTATCTGAACAAATGTGAGAGATTGTGAGAGTAAGGTATCTTAACATATATCTTAATCTGCAAACATCCAGCAAAACATCAACGAATTGCATTGCGTCCAAGGCACAATGGGGTATGGGTGCTGCCCCTGGACGCCACCTGCAGGAAGAACTTGCTTTACTAAAAATCGGTAGAAAGACGAACACAAAAGATAAGATACCAGGGAAGCAGTGCCCTCAACAACTGCAAGACCATGAGGAGAACCGTGAAATTGTGCGCACAGTCATGGCCATAAAAAGGAAATTTACAAACAATTATATTGATGAATTCGATGATATTGATGATACGTATGCTATGTATGTTATGTATTTCATGTATGTTATGTATGTTATGTATGTTGTGTGTGTGTTATGTATGTTATTATGCATTTTATACATGTTTCGTATATTATGCATGTTATGCATGTTATGGATGTTATGCATGCTATGTATGGATGCTATGTATCGCTATGTATGTTAAGCCTCTTAAGTTGTGTCATGTCATGTTATGTTATGTTGGTAGGTAAATGTGTTTATGAATACATGCACGCATGCAGGCATGCACGGATGCATGCATGCATGCATGCATGCATGTATGGATGTATGGATCTATGTATGAATGAATGCATGCATGCAGGCTTGCACGGATGCATGCATGCATGCATGGATGGATGGATGTAGATGTATGGATGTATGGATGTATGTATGAATGAATGCATGCATGAATGAATGCATGAATGCATGAATGCATATACGTACGTACGTACGTTTATGTATGTATGTCTATTTATGCATGTGTGTGATTGCACATATAGATGATAAAACTATAATTATATAAATTATATTATATTAAATTATATATATATGTGTGTGTGAGAAAAAAGATATTGAACATAGAATGTAGCTCTGATTGTGCTGCCAATGCGATCCTTGCAGGCCAGTCACTCAAGGTTCTAATGACAAAGTCAACCGCTTCCATCACAACGTAGTCCCCTTGGCAGCACAGTGGGTGTGTACCTGCGCAGTAAAATAAGGAGAGTCTCAGAGATTCATTTCGAAATGCCATGCCGCACACACAGGATATAAGCACGAGTGCAGGATATTTATGCAGTTCACACAGGAAGTGCACAAAAATGCCACAAAAAGAAAAAAACAATTCAGAAGAGCATGAGGCAGCATAGTAAGGAGCCCTGCCTGCAGCAATCAGTGTATATCCATCCGACTTGCGGCGCAGCGCAGCCCAATTCACCGCCCTGCCAGCAGAGAATGGAACCAAATCACTGGCGATGTGCTCCCACTTGTCAGCACGGAAGAGGATGTCAGCATCGTTGAACTGCTCCGTGGATCCACCAGTGGCAAATGCGTAGACATTTCCGGAGACCTGGTTCAAGCGATCCAAGATGGCATGCTTCTCATGCCACATCTCCGGAATGGCCGCAATCTCTGGCTGCATTCTCATGAGCTCATCAACAACTGGATGAATCCTTCCAGCCAAGGTGAAAACGTACAGGTTCCAAGTGACAAAGCGAGTTGGTTCTCCCTGGGCTTGTCCCGAGGATGTCTTCCTTTCTGGGGCAGCAACGGCCAAGGCATCGGTAGGCCAAGCGCAAGGCTTCGCACCCAGGGAGCAGCCGGTCTCAACCTGCAAGATCTGCAAGTGGCAGTCCCAAATCGGATTGAGGTTGCTGGCATCCTTGAAACACGCGACTGGTTCCCGCTGCTGCCCACACCAGGACGCCTGTGCCCTGTCGAAATTAGGCTTGGACACGCAGCTTTCGAGCTCGCTGAGACTGCGGCTGGCCTTGGAGCCACGAAGCATCAAGGGTACCTGAGGCACCTGAGGCACTGGTAGTTGAGCCTCCTCAGCAAGCACCAAAGGCACGCAGGACAACAATGCCAAGCGCATCATGCCGAGTCTTGCGGAGCAATGGGCCCGAAAGAATAGTTGAGCCACGGCTAGCGGACTGCAACCAAACAAACAAATACAAATTATACAAATAATTACAAATAAGAGAAGTCAAAAGATAATCAAAATACATAGAAGATCATAGAAGTACTAGCATGACTGGCATGAATTGACAGAAGTGACAGAGAGAAGCCATCTAGCCCTCAACTATTCTTGCAGCCAGCAGGAGACTCGTTCACCACTCCAGATTGGAACACCAGCTCCTTCCCAACCCTCTACTCCTTCGCACTGGCCAGTGAGCCAGCAATAAAGCACAAACACTTCGGTGCAAAGTATTGATAATCATTGAATATATATATAAATGATATTGAATTATTGAAAGATATTAAATGTCATTGACAAACATCAGCCAACATGTTTGGGCTCCCCAGCAATTTCAGCCGCGACGGTCTCAGGGGTCCTCCCTGGCTGCTGCATGGCTTCACTGATGACTCGCAGGAGCTGGGCATCGCCTGGATGGTTTTGGGTGCAGATTGAAGGTTCTTGAAGCATAGCTTGGTGGAGACAATTCAACTGGGTCGCAACATGTCTGCAATGAGTAAGCTGGCTTGATATCATTGCTTTTTTCACAATGTCTTCATGCCTAGTCATACGGACTTCGTAGGACTTCCACATATGCAGTGTAGACATGAGAAGGGGAACCTCCTGCATCTTGCTCTTGGCATCTGACTTTACCTCCACTTCACTGGCCTGGGGTAACACCCGACTTCGAAGCAGAACTGTCGCTGTAGACACCTTGGAGTGTAGCGTCTAACGGCTTGCCATCAACTGCCCATGGAGCATGAATCAAGGTGGCCACTTAGCTAGGTACTACATTTTTGCTTGGGCATCTGAGATGTTGGACAGACTATACTATATATTACTATATAAGCAACACATCCCAAATATATTCCCAAATTGGATTGCAGTAATGAATAGTAAAAAATCAGAATAACCAGGCTGCTGCCATTGCTTCGAGCAGTCGTCCGCGGTGTTGCTAAGCCACGCCAGTCTGCTTCACGACTGGCCTAGAGAAGTGGATATGAATTTGGGGCCGCTGGCTTTCAGCCATCGGCATCTGAATTTGCGTCCGAGAAGGGCTATCAAAGAGTTGAAAAAACTTTTGGGTACAAATGGGTACAACCCTCAAGTGATTGAACAAATCAAAGTGAGTCGAGATGCAATATCGTGCAACAAACAGCTCAGCTAGGTAACGCAGTAACGCTAGCGCTCTCAATAGATTATAATTAATTCAGATTATATGTCTGCCTACAATGACGCGAGCTGGCAACAATTGGTCAGTTGAAGTATATGAAGTATGTTGAAGTCGCAATATGTATAAGTCTGCCCAATGCATGTTGCGCAAAAACTGCTGCCCTCCTCTTGCTGAGCTTCGCGGTAGATTTCCAAAAGTTCTCTGTCCTCAGGTCGCAAAGGTTCGCAGAGCCGTTGCACTGTGCATCATGAGCCGCGGACGGACAACTGCTATCTCTTCATATTGGAGATTCATCTGGGCCAGCCCATCCACTGTCAAACGTGCACTTGAATCCACTTGGGATGATATCACCCCATGCGATTTATAATTTTACTATTAAAACTGCCCAAAAAGTCCACAATTCATTTTCCTGGATTTTTTCAGGATATGTTCACCGAGACACCTTCAAGCGCAGGCTCGATCGCTTGGTTTCTCGCCGTTCCTGTTCTTGTGACTCAGCCACGCTGCCGGAGTCACGTACGCCTAGAGGAGGGCCCGTCCTTTTGACTCCAGGCTTCATGTGCTACAGTAGGCAATGGATCGCTTTCACGTCAGGATGTTCAACCCAAATGCATCAAAATGCCCTTGTACTGTTGCAGGGATTGATGAGCATTAATGATCCACCATCAGCAGCCAGTGATATTCTGGGACCTTTTTTTGAAGGATAGATATGGAGTGATAATGAGTGATATGGATACATGTCCAATGACTTCCATCTCGCTTGCATCATCACTGGCATCATCAAATCATGAAAACATGTAAAAACCACTAGCACTGCACGGTAATGCGGGTCTGGGGGGCCTGAAACTGCAGGAACGTCAGCTTCTCTGCCCCTTGCACCTTGCAACAAAGCGACCCAGCAAGCTGATGCAAGCTGCACCAAGCAGTCAGGAAATGTCAGGAATACGGAACGATCATTGTCATCTTCTGTTCGGCTTCCATGCCATGATTGAAGCATAACTCCCCTTGGAACAAGAACCTTGATTGTACTTGGCAATCCGTTTGCAGCTGCGTCACCGTTTTGGGCATCCTCAGCCTCTTTGGAGGAAAGAAAACGCGTCGCGAATGCCAATGTATGCACCTTAGACTCGCTTGGGTGTGTTCCCCACAAAGCGGGCTCCTGAACCAAAGTGAAATTTGAAAGTGCCAATAGGAGTTTCTGAAGAAAGAATCTCAGTGGCACTTACTGTAGTAGGTGCTAGTATACAATTAACAAGAACCAAGCATTGGAAGATGAAACAGCCC